CATCCTTGAATCATACTAGCTCGTAATTGACTTGATGAGCCCCATACTACTTGCGGTCAGAAATTGTGAACGGAAGACTGAAGAAAAGTAACTGTGGTTGGATTTGTGAGGTCCAAAAAAAAAGGACAGAGAAAAATACTTGGTGTACATTTGTTTAATTTTTTTACAAAGTAATGATGTATCAAAAAAAGAAAGGAATGTTTTTTTTTTTTTAATTTGACTGATGAGATTTTGATATAGTCGAATCTCATCCCTCGTCTGTTGACAAACAAAGTTGTAAGTTGTAATATAAATATAGTACAATCAAAAAAATAATACTTGATACAGTAACATGGAACTAAGCTCTTGCTTGATAGTCATTAAATGAAAAAAAATTATGTTTTGAATAGTGATTTTTAGGAGTTATTGGTTAAAATGTAAAGAAAAAATTTTGAATTTATATGCATAGTATTTTGTGCTTGTTTGTCTCCCATTTTGGGAGAAGAAATAAAATTTTGAATAGTATTTTTTGGAGAATATGTAGTTGAAAAGTAAAGTAATTTTATTGGTTTGTGTGTAAATTATTTTATTAAAAATTGAACCCCAATCTTAAGGGTCCCCCACCGCCCCGCCTCTAGAGCATTGTGAATGAGGTAAATCTTCGAATGTGCCTCAACAGGTCAGGGTACAAGAGCTGTCATACTAGTGCTCACAAAGAGTCCAATTTTATACCTTGTAAGAGGCAAAAATCGAACAATCACACTTCGACTGCCAGCTCAACTGAGAATACCTCACTCATGTCATTTGCACTATTGAATTATGTCCCGAGGGCAATGTGTAGAATATTTTATTGAATGAATATGTGGTGGAGATTGTTTATTGTAGAAAATAATATTTTATAAAATGGATGACAAATATGGGCTTTATTATTTGAATGTGTGATTAAAAAAATATCTAAAAAAAATATCTGAAAATAATGGTTGTCAATTCGGCCTTTAGCCCTGTTTGGTACGGCTCAAAATTCAATTAAAATTGAAAATATAGTAGTTATTGGGTTCCACTCATTTAATAAAAGTCAACAATAACGGTTAGTTTTTCAATTTTATTCCGATTTTAATATTTACCAAACACCCTCTAAATTTATTATTTATTTATTTGGATAATGAAATTAGGTTCTTACGATTTGTTAAATGTGGGATTAAGAATTTACTTTGTCGAAAAACTTGAATTGAAATTAAGGACATGACGTCATGCATGACTCAAGGGGTTGGAGTTTACTTTGACTTTTGAGGTTGTGTTCAGAATTATTGGAGAGGTCCAACTGTCATTACGCAAACGGCATAGCTTTTCTTGGACATATGGAGTGTTTGGTTTTGTGAATAAGGAAAAGGAAATTACTTTTCTTTTCTCGAGTTTTTTTGGGGTGATATAATTCAATGTATTTAGATCAAACATGTTTTTCATTCAAACATTTTTGATCACTTGTTGTTATTCACACATTTTTATATGCTGCAAGCTTATAGTAACTTAAATTTTAATTAATCACTTAAAAAACATGCAATCAATTCAAGCATATAAATTTAAAGGGGAAAAAATGAGGGAAAGACAAATTACTTCCTCTAGTTTGGTTCTAAATTAAAATAGGATAATATAAGTTTTTGTTGAGAAACTCAAGAATTATACTTTTTTTTTTAATTGTTTTCGAAAGAGTTAAGAAATCTCATTTTTAAGTATGTAACACTACAATTCAAACCGTTAGATGAATACTGAATAAGTATCTTTTAGAAGATTAGATATGATCTACGTTATAACATATCAAATCGAATTAGTACAATCAAAATAATACGGCAATCCACCTAACTTGTAAAGTCTAACTTGATTAAAAATGTATTCATCCCTACCAGCAAGATTAGAAATTAAAACTTGACAAATTCTAAATATATAAATTCAAGCTCGGCACGACCGTACCAACATAGTTAGACTCTCAAGACGAAACCTTTACATGTCTTCAATGTGTTTTTACATGAATAAATCCAACTTGTGTGATCCTAGAGATAATTAATCTAAATTTGTGGTTGGTGCTTTGTCATTTTAGTAGCTGAATTCGTATGTGGGATTAAGAATTTACTTTGTCGAAAAACTTGAATTGAAATTAAGGACATGACGTCATGCATGACTCAAGGGGTTGGAGTTTACTTTGACTTTTGAGGTTGTGTTCAGAATTATTGGAGAGGTCCAACTGTCATTACGCAAACGGCATAGCTTTTCTTGGACATATGGAGTGTTTGGTTTTGTGAATAAGGAAAAGGAAATTACTTTTCTTTTCTCGAGTTTTTTTGGGGTGATATAATTCAATGTATTTAGATCAAACATGTTTTTCATTCAAACATTTTTGATCACTTGTTGTTATTCACACATTTTTATATGCTGCAAGCTTATAGTAACTTAAATTTTAATTAATCACTTAAAAAACATGCAATCAATTCAAGCATATAAATTTAAAGGGGAAAAAATGAGGGAAAGTCAAATTACTTCCTCTAGTTTGGTTCTAAATTAAAATAGGATAATATAAGTTTTTGTTGAGAAACTCAAGAATTATACTTTTTTTAAAAAAAATTGTTTTCGAAAGAGTTAAGAAATCTCATTTTCAAATATGTAACATTACAATTCAAATCGTTGGATGAATACTGAATAAACATCTTTCAAAAGATTAGATATGATCTGCATTATAACATATCAAATTGAATTAGTACAATCAAAATAATACGGCAATCCACCTAACTTGTAAAGTCTAACTTGATTAAAATTGTATTCATCCCTACCAGCAAGATTAGAAATTAAAACTTGACAAATTCTAAATATATAAATTCAAGCTCGGCACGTCCGTACCAAAATAATTAGACTCTCAAGACAAAACCTTTACATGTCTTCAATGTGTTTTTACATGAATAAATCCAACTTGTGTGATCCTAGAGATAATTAATCTAAATTTGTGGTTGGTGCTGTCATTTTAGTAGCTGAATTCGTACATAAAAGGGAAAAGAAGGAATTTAGTGGTCAAGTGATGGCACATTTTGTCTACTAGAATCTTTCCCATAATTATGTTACCACTCATCAATAAAGTTGTCCAATACATGCCTAAAATGTGAAAATAGTTATAACATAGAAGGTCTTGGTTGGTGGGTGATAAGTGCATTTTTGTGCACTTATTCACAAAGATTTTGCATCGTTTTAGTATTGAATTTTACTTAACTTGGGTTAATTTTATCTTATTTTAGTTTTGGACTCATTTCTAAGCAATTGAAAAAGAAAGAATGATCAATCGGCCAATGAATGAAAGTTTGGGGACTAATATGCATTTAAGTAAAAGTAGAAACACTAAAATCGATAATTCAATTATCAACCTATATTCTTTAGTCTGATTTGTGTATAAATTGACAATCGATAATTCAATTTATCCAACTCTCTCTTATGAGGTGAGTTAAACCCATTTCTAAGTACGACCCAAAATATTTCTGTTCCGAATTCAAATACTTAGTGTACCACCCCCGGTACAAGAAGAATTATTCGTTTTATACCAAACCAAAATTAGTGTACCATTGAAAATGGTCTAAAACTTAATTCTTGAACTTTCCAGTAATTGTTTCAAGATTTTTCGATGATTCGTTATATTACATACTGAAACTATAAGCTTCTATCCATAAGTTCTTTCACTAATTTAATTTTTTTATTTTTTTTTATTTTTACATTTGGGTTCCAAGAAAAAAAATGTATAGAAAATGAAAGAAAAATACCTAATAAGTTTATATTTTCAAGCTTACTAATATTGACTTTCTGATTTATTTATTTATTTATTTATATTTTATCTTAAGTGTAATTTGCAATCGCACCCTATTGAAAAATCAAAACACTAATTTTATGCATAAAAAATAGACTGCTTAGAATGCACCTTTAGCACTTAGAGGGTATTATATGGTTTGTCTCTTTTATTTATTAAGATAATTGTTATTTTATATTTAGTATTTGTTAGGGATTAAAATTAAAATTTTAATCTAAATCAAAGTCGACAATTAATTTTAACTACATATTTTTATAAGATTCATAACTTTTCAACTATACATTTGATCATTTTTTATCAAAATCTACTAA